ACAAGGAGACCCTGGACCCCCTGCAGGATACGGGGAAGCATTGGAAGCGCAGGGCAAGGGGGACCCCCCAGGAAGCCTGGAAGCGTGGCACGGCACATGGGCAATCCTGGGAGGTGCGTCGGCTGGCTCGTGCCTCCCGGGCCCCCGTGACGAGGCACTGGCACCGCGAGCGCCTGGAGTGCGGGCACGGCAGGCCTGCGCCGCGCCGTCGTGGCGCGGCGGCGGCCCCTCGGCGTGGGCGTGCGATGCTGGGCGCCGTGGGCGACGCCCGGCATCGGCCGACGGCGAGCGCTGCGGAAGGGCAGGTCGGGCAGGCCCCTCTGCCTCGGCATCGCTCGGGCGTGCGCATCTTTCCTCGGCGAGGCCCATCGAGGATCGTTTGCTGTCCACCGCGCGGGAAAAAGTACACGCACGGAGCCGAAGGATGCACGGGGAACGGACGTGCGAGCGATGGCGAGCTACAGGAGGAGTATGCCATGTTATTTCTGCAGCTGCGAAGAAAACGTGTGCCATTTCAAAGGAAAACTGTTCCAATATTTGGGGACGATGCTTGTGCCATTTCTACAGAACATGTTGTTCATATGTTGGGGCTATGTCTTATGTGTCTTCCAAACTCCACCTGTAGGAGGACATGCCCGACCTAAGCGCAACTCATGGTGCGGGGCGCTACAAGGGGAGGGGGGGAAGACAAGTTAAGTGCCCTCGCGTCTACATCTGACATCCTACCCCTCCCTCCCATCCCTTACCATGGCGCTGATTTTCTCTATCCGCGGACGCGTGTCGTAGCGGACCTGTGGCTCCGCGCGCGTGTGCGTAGTGGGTGGTGGTGCGCGTGCGTGCGTGCGTGTGTGCGTGGTTGTGGTTGTTGTGGTGGTGGTGTATGTGTGTGTGTGTGTGCGTGTGTGCGCGTGTGCTGTGGTGTGACGTGGTGTGGCGTCTTGGTGGTTTGGTGGTGCGCCAGGTGCGTACGTGCGTGATGGCGGTGGTGGTGGTGGTGGTGGCGGTGGTGTGTGTGTGTGTGTGTGTGGGTCTGTGTGTGTGTGTCTGTGTGTGTGTCTGTGTGTGTGTCTGTGTGTGTGTCTGTGTGTGTCTGTGTGTGTGTGTCTGTGTGTGTGTCTGTGCGTGTGTCGGTGTGTCTGTGTGTGTGTCTGTGTGTGTGTCTGTGTGTGTCTGTGTGTGTGTCTGTGTGTGTGTCTCTGTGTGTGTCTGTGTGTGTGTGTGTGTGTGTCTGTGTGTGTGTGTGTGTGTGTCTGTGTGTGTGTGTGTGTGTCTGTGTGTGTCTGTGTGTGTGTCTGTGTGTGTGTGTGTCTGTGTGTGTGTCTGTGTGTGTGTGTGTGTGTGTGTGTGTGTGTGTCTGTGTGGTGTTGTCTGTGTGTGTCTGTGTGTGTCTGTGTGTGTCTGTGTGTGTGTCTGTGTGTGTGTCTGTGTGTGTCTGTGTGTGTCTGTGTGTGTGTCTGTGTGTGTGTCTGTGTGTGTGTGTCTGTGTGTGTCTGTGTGTGTGTCTCTGTGTGTGTCTGTGTGTGTGTCTGTGTGTGTGTGTCTGTGTGTGTGTGTCTGTGTGTGTGCCTGTGTGTGTCTGTGTGTGTCTGTGTGTGTGCCTGTGTGTGTGTCTGTGTGTGTGTGTGTCTCTGTGTGTGTGTCTGTGTGTGTCTGTCTGTATGTGTTTGTGTGTCTGTGTGTGTCTGTGTGTGTGTCTGTGTTTGTCTCTGTGTGTGTCTGTGTGTGTGTCTGTGTGTGTGTCTGTGTGTGTCTCTGTGTGTGTATGTCTGCGTGTGTGTCTGTGTGTATGTCTGTGTGTGTGTCTGTGTGTGTGTCTGTGTGTGTGTCTGTCTGTGTGTGGGTCTGTGTGTGTCTGTGTGTGTCTGTGTGTGTGTCTGTGTGTGTGTCTGTGTGTGTGTCTGTCTGTGTGTCTGTGTGTGTCTGTGTGTGTCTGTGTGTGTGTGTGTCTGTGTGTGTCTCTGTGTGTGTCTCTGTGTGCGTCTCTGTGTGTGTCTGTGTGTGTGTGTGTCTGTCTGTGTGTGTCTCTCTGTGTGTGTCTGTCTGTGTGTGTCTGTGTGTGTGTGTCTGTGCGTGTCTGTGTGTGTGTCTGAGTGTGTCTGGTTGTGTCTGTGTGTGTCTGTGTGTGTCTGTGTGTGTCTGTGTGTGTGTCTGTGTGTGTCTGTGTGTGTCTGTGTGTGTGTCTGTGTGTGTGTCTGTGTGTGTCTGTGTGTGTCTGTGTGTGTGTCTGTGTGTGTCTGTGTGTGTCTGTGTGTGTGTCTGTGTGTGCCTGTGTGTGTCTGTGTGTGTCTGTGTGTGTCTGTGTGTGTGTGTGTGTTGTGTGTGTCTGTGTGTTGTCTGTGTGTGTGTCTGTGTGTGTCTGTGTGTGTGTCTGTCTGTCTGTGTGTCTGTGTGTCTGTGTGTGTGTGTGTGTGTCTGTGTGTGTCTGTGTGTGTGTGTGTGTGTGTCTGTGTGTGTCTGTGTGTGTGTCTGTGTGTGTGTCTGTGTGTGTCTGTGTGTGTTGTGTCTGTGTGTCTGTGTGTGTCTGTGTGTGTCTGTGTGTGTGTGTCTGTGTGTGTGCCTGTGTGTGTGCCTGTGTGTGTCTGTGTGTGTCTGTGTGTGTCTGTGTGTGTGTCTGTGTGTGTGTCTGTGTGTGTGTGTCTGTGTGTGTGTCTGTGTGTGTGTGTGTCTGTGTGTGTGCGTGTGTGTGTGCGTGTGTATGTGTGTGTGTGCGTGCGTGCGTGTGTGTCTGTGTGTGCGCGCGTGTGATGTGGTGTGACGCGGTGTAGCGTGGTGGTGGTGGGTGGGGTAGTGCGGTGGTGGTGGCGGTGCGCGGTGGTGGTGCGCGTGCGTGCGTGCGTGCGTTGGTGGGTGGAAGTGGCGGTGGGTGTGCGTGCGGCGGGGCGGGGCGTGGTGCGGCGCGGTGGTGGCGGGCGGATGGGCGCGCGAGAAAGAGGCCCGCGCTGTGGCGAGAACGCTATCCTGAACGACGGAGGCGAAACACCGATCCGAAAATGAGGCCCACGCTGCAGCGGGAGCACGAGTCGGAACGATTCGGGAGCAGAAATGAGGCCGGCGCCTCATCGAGAGCAGCATTTTGAAAAAAAACGCAGGCGAAAACCCAACTCCTGGGAATCCTGTGTGTAATAAAAACAGTACGCGGGGGGGGGTCTACTACTCCCAGCACGCCATCAGGGGAAGAGGGAGAGTAGTATTCATATTGAGTAATTGTAAACTGTTCCTTGTCGTGCACTTGCGAGGGGCCCTCGAGGGCCCAAGAGGGAGCACGGAAGGTGCACGACGTGATTTCGCCCCCTCCCACCCCTGGTTCGTCGCTCCCCCCCCCCGAAGCAGCAGCAGCGCCCAAGCGTGGAGCGCAGTCCCTTCAGATCCTGACGTCGCATTTCTTCCACAACGGGGGGGGGTTCTACGCTGTTCCGGGCCCTGGAACCCTCACAGATCGATCCGGCACGAAAAACGACGCAGAAAGAGAGGGTCTCTAGGGCTTCTGGTCGTCATCGTTTCGCGGTGTTGCATTTTGCATGGTCACATCTGAGTGGCGGAACGCAGCGGACCGCTCTCACGGCTGAGCCATCAGAGTCCTGGTCGGGGCGCGCCCCGGGACCGGCCTTGCGCGCTCGTCTTGTGAGAGCGGGGTCCTGCGACCTGCAGGCGTCGTGCGCAAGATCACATCCGCCCGCATTGCCTCGGGCTCTTCTAGAAACCACCAGGGCTCGATCTGTCCCGAGAAGGAAGGCAGGGTGCGAGCGAAGCGCACACCTCGCACACGCTCCTGGGCCCCATATGGAGTTCCCCCTCTGTCGTCCAACCAGCCTTGAGGCACTCGCGCCTGCATAGGCTTGGGCCCGTCGCCAGGATAACGGCATGTCGGTTTCGTTGCCCCGTTTTGTTTTCAGGCGCCAGCCCGCGGCCCTTTTGTTTTCTTTATTGAGGGCGACGGTCTGGAACGAATCGGGTCGTTCTGAGGATGGCGGCGCGTTCGTTGTTGCATCTTTTTGAACGCAAGCGGCGCTCAAAACAAGACCAACGTTTTGTTCGCGCCCTGCCAGAGAAAATGCCGCAGAAAGGTTGTGCCGATGACGGTGTGATTTAGCACGGCCGGGAACGTGTGCTCAACGTGTCGCGCCGCCAGTTTTGGTCCACCACGCTTCGGCGCGACACGCTGACCGCGTCCCAATAATCAAGCAGTGGCGAAGTGTCCCGTGCCTATAGGCCTACGAAACAATATTCTGATAATCTTTTCTGGTTTCCACGAGATATTCTTGGAACGCTTCTGGCTGGGACTGTCTTGTTTTAGCACATCGGTTTTATGTTCTAAGAACATTGTTTTGTTCTTAGAATATTTAGGGGTTCTGAGAAAATTTCGTGCTAGGCCTGTAGGAGTGCTGGGACGGTCGGTCCCTGCTCAAAGCACCCAGGCATCAGCGTCCCGAGCTCTGCCCAGCCTCCCACCCAACAGAGCGGAGCGACACGCGGCGTCCGCCTGCAGGGCGCAGCGTGTCGCTGGGGCCGCCGCCGCGACGTGCTGAGCAGAAGTTCCCATCCGTAAGATCTCGATGTCGGCCCAGCTCAGAGAGGCGAAGGCGGGGTGAGCTCGAGGGCCCCTCTGGCTCCCGTCTCGGGCCCCAGGTCTGGCCAGAAATCCGGCGCGCGCCCCCCACATCAGCGCCAACATCCCGGCATCCCGAAGACGATGGAGCGAAGATCGGGGCAGGAAGACTCCAGCGCCGCCCCTGGCGCTTTCCGCGCGGCGGGGAGGGGGTGTGCCCAGCGCCGAGCCAAGAAACCTGCGCGGAGCACGTAAGAGTTAACCGAGAACCCACGAGAATAAACCCCCAGGGATAGTAAAGTTCGGGGTTTTCGGGAAGATAATAAAAGTTGCCCGCCAGAGCCAGCATAAAGAGATATCAAGAGGAAAAAGCCAAAGATATCTTGAGGATTGTCTCTGTTGAGACATCCTCAACGAATTTCTTGTTTCGCTTGAGACATCCTCGAAATATGTG